ATAGAACTCAGGTAAGGCAGAAATAAGGTGCAACTGAAATGAAAACACACAGAGAAATGACACAGTACACAACTAACATCCGATAGGCTAAGCCTACTGAGCCACGCTACACAGTTGTGTGTCAGATGCAGTTAGCCTCACTCTGTGCAGAACGAAAAGAGGCTAAACTTTGTGGACACACAGATCCAATGGGTCTTCTTTTTGTGCACAGTTAACATTGTACATCGGATCTCAGCCATGGTAGAGACAAAACCACCCCAGTAGACTGTCCCACACATTCCTGGCCACTCAAGGCATTTAGTCCCACACACTAGGGGCTGCCTCCACTCTCCTTGTTACTGTGAGTCCTAGACCCAGAGCCCAAAGTATTATGAAACCGGTTGGCTCTGAAGGCTCCTTCAGCCAGCGGGCCACCAGCGTCACAGACCACACACACCACCAGCTTTTCAGGAAGAACAACTGATAACTCCCACTCATTCCCTGCCAGTGACCTCCAAGGAGGACACAGGAGGACCTTACATCTAGGAGAATCCTAAAGATGGCTGAGAGGAAGGAAGAAGGGAAGCACTCCTAAGACTTGCTCATTCGGCAGCCATCACCTTCCTTTACTGGGTTGCTACTATGTACTTTTGTGCCAGGCAGGGCTGAGGATTCAAAAGTGGTTCACCCCAAATTATATTCTGGAGATGTTGGGTAAGATAAAGAGATGTATATAAATAACAAAAGTATACGCTGCTTTATATACCAGGTGCAGGGCCAGCCAAATAGATCAGCGAACTAAAGCACCTGTTTAGGCAGACATAGGGGCTGGGAGTTTGATCCGGGGCCTGCTGTGTCCGCCCCGCCTCCGGGGTGCACTGAGACTGGGCGTAGTGGCATGCACCTATAATCTCAGCACTTGGGAAGCAGTAAACAGGAGGATCACTACAAGTCCGATCTACGCAGTGAGACCCTATAGACCCTGTAGACCCTGTCATATATATATATATATATATATATATATATATATATATATGGTGCCTTGAGAGAGATTCACATAAGCTTGCTTCTTTGGATCAGGGTCAGAAAAGACTTCATGAAAGGGAACAAAATGAGATTATTTTCATAATAGCTTCAGATGATGATGTATAAAGAACAGGTAGAAAGGAGAAAGAGGTATTCTATGTGGAGAAAGAGCCAAAGAAAAGCCAAGAGGTATACAAGTAGAAAAGATCAGTGTTTAGGAACTTACGGGGACAAAAGGGTGAGGGGAACTCTGACGGAGCAGAGCAGGCTGTAAACTAGAAGTTGAACCTGGTCAGGGGGTCTGGCCTTTCCTCAGCAGGGGGTTCACAGCCCCTGAGGCCTCAGGATCTCCTCTAGTAACTCATCTGATGCTGATATGAATGGAGAGGAAGGGAAAGATGTACAGAACCTTGCAGAGGCAAAATATCAATAAGGAGACAGGTGCTAGCGCACCCCGTCAGCCCAGAACTCTGGGAGACTGACACAGGGGGAATCCCAAGTTTAAGCCCAACCAGGGCAACTTAATGACTTATCAAGAACCTTTCCAAAAATTTAAAAAAATGAAAAAGGGCTAAGGGATATAGCTTAGTGCAAACATCCTGGGTTCAACTCCAGTACCAGAAAAATACAAAAGTCCACAAGGTAAGAGTACAAATACACAGGCCTCAGTAACAAGGCGAGAAACAGGGAAGAGAACGGCCAAAGATGCAAAGGCTTAGTAAAACTTTCTGTTCAACAAGCAGGTCTCAAGCACCTCACGAGAGCCTGGCTGCATGTCACAGGGACATAGAAGCACAACCCCAGCGAGGTCCTGGGCCTCTCGGAGCAACTTTACAGCGGGCTGGGCTTGTCAGCAGAGAGTGAGAAGACTGCCAGCAGGTGGGGAGCCCCAGCCATGGACATTTCCAATTTGAAGTGGGAAAGCCCTCCAGGCAAGCAGAGGCCACCTCAGGAGGAAGAGTACCAGGAACAGGGTGCAGATGTAAAATGTTCAACGCATCAGTTTGCATAAGCAGAACCAAAAGCCGGGCTATGTAATGAAGCTTGTTTTGTTGCAGGAAAGTATAGCTTGTAATCACCCATACTCTGATACCTGACACAGAAGAGCGCCCCTCCTCAGCACCAATTAGAAAATAAAATGAATGCCATACACTTTTAACAAACAGAAGTGAGAAAAGGCTGCTACTGGCGGAGCCAGGAGGGCTAATGCTGTGGGAACGGAGAACGCTGCCCTGTTTCCATGGCTTCAGCCTCCTCTAGTCCCTGTGAGCCCACAAATGAAACTGCACAGAAACTTACATTGTTTATATATTTTTTTTTAAGTCTAACTCTGGGAAAACTTAGGGCCCCAAGGTAGTCTCCAAATCCCACAGCAGGCTGAGTTTCACACAAACGCAACCAAACACACACTGGACCCAGGGGAATGGACGTATTTCTTATCCAGCAGAAGTAGTAATTTCACTACAAATGACCCGAAACAGGCAAAAGCACTGGCCGTAAGGCCGGCCCTGGATCTCCCTCTGCCTGCCTGTCCTGCGCATTTCCCACTGAGCTATTAGGCAAAGAAAATCAGCAGCTCCAAGACGCGTACAGCTTTTCAACCTGTGCCAGCCTCTGCCCTTCGTTTTGTCATTCACATGAAAGGAAAGGTATTTACTACAGATGAAAAATAAGCTTCGTTCAGCTGCCTCTAAACTGATCCCAAAAATAGAGCAATCACTTTGGTACAAATTGGGTCAAATGTATTAAAAAAAAAAAACAAAAAAAACCTGACTCCCTGTTGGGAGGCCAGACACGACATGGGCATGAGACCTTGCTCAGGGTCAGGGGGAGATCCCCAAAGACCCTCCCTTCCCACAGGGCAAAGGAAATATTTAAGGAGTCAGGCAGTGCATAAACTCATCTGGCTGGGGACCATCCAAGTGAAAGCAAGGCAGGAACTTTAATGCCATGAGCTAGAGAATACCTGGCAAAGAGGTCACACCAACACATGTTACTTAGGACCAAGGCCTCCAAACTAACACACTGCTGGCTCCCCCAAGAACAAACCGGGTTGTTTTAGAATTCTCAAGAAAGGCCCTGCGAGGTGGATCTGCAAGGGGGAAGAGGAGAGATTCGTCTACCTATTCCCTGTATTTTACTCTTGTACTTCTTAGCTGAAAAACCAAATGGACTGACAGCATTTATATTAGTGCCTTGAATTTCCCTGGAGGAAAAAAAAAAAAAAAATCAGAATATTAATTGGCTTACGTATACAGCTACATTAATTATTCTATTGATCTAAATTAATCTGCCTCTCTGAAAGGTATTTATTTTCCAAGTTTGTTTAATCATGTTCTCTTGAGCTACAAAAAGCAACAAACTGGGTCACCATCCACATTGTTAAATTTGGTAACAAGGCTAACACCATCTGTGGCCTAGACTACGACGACGCTCTATCCCCATTGATGGGAAGCTTGCCACTACTTCCGCCTTTCCTTTAAAACGTTCATCTAATATCACAAGTCTACAACCACACCAAAAGCTATTGTAAGTGTTCAGAGTTATACAAATAATCTTGAGCTTAATATAAATTTATGCTAATAAAAAGCACATATAGGTGTATCCGGCTCCCATTTCCAGCAATATCCAAAATGTCTTGAAAATTCTCTAGAAAACAAAATATCAAAATCCCAATACAAACAGACATCATGTTACATCTAAAAGAGGTCCCAAAACTGTAAATGTAACAAATCCTGTATATAAGCCATTAAGACTAAATTCACAAGTGCATCATTTTACTCTTTCAGAGACAGAACTCTCCCCCTCACTATAAAAAGGATAGTGTGTTCGCCTTCACAGCACTCAGTTAAGAACAGCCAGCCGTACCAAAGCACGACTTCCCCATAAGAAACTACCCAAAAGAGGCAAAAGCAGAGTAACAGTTTCCTGTTACCCAGCCCTGGCTCTCTCCGTCCCATACCATGCTGCATAGCCTCTAATTCGAAGATCCTACCCTTGCAAGGAGGATTCTACAGCATCTAGAAAAATCCTCAAGCTCCGTGACTCATTAAGGCAAAACTATCGAATGTCGGAGGGAAAACAGTGCTAGTGATCTGCTCGTCCAATCCCCTAATCATCAGGCGGGAGAACAGCAACGCAGGCAGGACAGGAGAAATGCCCCAAATACAACCAGTTGCTGGCTGAGCAGGACAAGCTCCTGGTCTCAGTCTAGAACTCTAGTAGCTTCCTGCTCTTTCACAATGTCAACTGTTCTAAAAGGAAGTTCAAGCGAGCACTGCTTCTATGATATTAAAGTCTTCTGCCAAAAATATGTTTGAAAAGTATCTATCATTACTGTTAGGGACTAGCTGAGTTCAACAAAATGAAACTTGTTTTTTAACTGCAAAACTTCACAGAGCTTTCACTCAGCTAATGTGCAGTATAAATCTTTAAGAAGGCAATAAAGAAATGAAGTATCCTGGTGTCTTTGACTGTAAACTCATTTTATTTGGGGGGCATTTCCCAGAATGTAGTACAACCATTTCAATATTACACTCACCTCCAAATTATACTTATGTAAATTTATTAGTTTCATTATATTCTGCTTCTATAAAACATACACAATGTATAATTCTCCATTTACTAGGAAAAATAACCAAAGTAGACAGCACTACCAAACAACAGTGGCTTTTAAAAAAATATGACCAGGAAAAGCACGACAGGCAGCAAAAACCATGTAGAGAAAAACATCATCCTAAAATTTGCTACAAGTCTCTTCCATAAAAAGTTCCACATCTATTTATATAAGATTCATGACTTAAAATACTTTTATTCAGTACAAATGAGAATGTAAGTTAAAAAAACAAAAGCAAAACCAAAAATAATAGTTGCAAAGCTGCAGAAAACATCACATGCATGTAAACTTCAAACACCCCGAAAGCCAGCTGCCGGCTTCAGCACAGAGGCGACGATAAACATACATCACAACAAACAGGAATTCTACAGCCACTTACCAAGTTATGATTTGTTGAATTAGAATCATCTTCAGGGAATGGGATGTAAATAGCTAAGGCCACACAATTGGCAAAAATAGCCAATAATATAAATATGTCAAAGGGTCTGAAAAATTTTGTTAAGGTACATACACATTATGCAAACAGAAACCAATTCTCCCCACAGGCGAGATCCCAGCATGTCTACATTGCTTCTAAAAGGAAAATAACACAAATCATTTCTTCACTAATTGCTCTGACTACTGGGTTTGTAGCAGAAGTAACTGTCTGTGGTCATCTCACACAGGTCATCCTCTCAGATGACCTCTCCTTGTCCTCTTCTTCAGCTGCAAGGATCGCATTACATTCATTCTTCTGCTGCACATTGTATATTAAAACCTGAAAGCACTGAGCATCCAATTAGGGCACAGTGTGAACCAGATTTCTGCTTCTTATAGCTTGAAAAACAAGGGCCTTACTAAATTCCCAGCTGCTATAGACACAAAGAAGTACCCATCATGGGGTAAATCTCTTCCACAGATCCTTGCCTCTACGTGCTAAAGCCATTTTTTCAGGCTATTCCCAGCTGGGTCTGTCTAGATCACCTACCTGGACCAGGCATGGCAAAGTCCCTAGGACCCCATCCTCCCTGGGACTCTCTCGCGGCACGTTCCCATACCTCGGATGCTGTGTTAGGCAAGCCAGGCTCCAGCACACTCCTCTGCTTGCTTTACTAATCAACAGCAATAACTGTTTCAGATTAGAGTGGGGCTGGAGTTAGGTTTATAATGTGCTGTTGCTGTGCTCAATTTATAAACAAATTCAATTAAAAAGCCATAAGAAATCAGCACCAGACACTTTCAAAGTGGGCTCTAACAATTTGAAATCCTGGAGGTCTATCTGGAAGGATCACTTTGAGACCAGCCTTCAACGGACAGTTGCTAAAATATTCTGGTGTTATTAAAAGACACTGACTGTCAAAATTGGTGACACAAAATTTGACATTCACCGAATGACGGTCTTTCTTCTTTAGATTTACAGCCTGTCTGAACATGGAGTTTTATGAGCACCACAGAGTTTTATAATTCCTGAGCTGGATCTTACAACGCTACTTCCTCAAGAGGCAAGGCCGTGGTTTAACTAAATCCCTCCAGGTACTAAAGATTCAGGAATATGAACACTTTCTTCTCCACTCTTCCTAACACTCTTCTGAGAAATCCAACATGATGCAAGAAATAAATTATCTGGAGATATCCCAGGTTTCTTAAAACCTCAGCCCCTTTGAAGAGGTTTGTTAACTTGTGGAAATAAGAACAGGAATAACATTATCCCCTTACTAACTTTGATGGGTTTATTCTTAAGCCAGTTAACTTTAATCCATATTGATTCTCTTAACTCATCTAGTGTTATAAAATCTTTTATCCAGAGATCCCAACTTTAAATCGGTCCACCTGAAGAAAACTTCACAATGCTCTTTTCATTTTTCTTCTTAGCAGGTTCCCACTGAAATCTAACGTCAACTTCCCTAAAGTTATTCTCTACAGAAACACAACTAGGCCCTCCTCTCTTCCACATTACCTTTTTTTTATTTCCTAATACTTATAAACCACAAATCTGAAAAATACTAACACTGCTCAGGAAAGCTAAGTATGATATGTTTTTTTTTCTTAATGCAGTTTACAGACATTTGTGGAAATCAGCTCACTGCCACAAGATACCACTAGGTCCGATGCGCACAATCTCTTCTGTTAAGGAGAACAACTCTCACTACTTTTCTTAGGGATAGTCTTCCCTGCCTGTTTGTAAAAATGAGAGTGGGCCCGACAAGCTCTGGCTTGGAGACAATTTCTGTAACCTGCTCCCTGCAATGGAAGGGAATGATCATTTTAAAAAGCAGATAGATCACATGGGATTGAATAACTTCCATGCTACAAACTGCCCCACTTCTAAGTAGATTTCTCCCCAAAGCAGCAGCCACATGCCCCACTTCCTGTATAGATGTGTCTGGCAACTTAGGAAAGGGAGCCAGCAGGGCGATCCAGGAACTCATTCTGTACAATAAACTGCCACGTACAAATTACTAAACACAGAGGGACTCAGCATTGGGCCTCCCACCTCACTCCAAATAAAATGAATGGTCACACCGACACATCTCTGCCTACTCCAAGCCACATCAAGCTAATCAAAGTAAGAGCAGCTCTTTCTCTCAAGCGCAGCTGCCGCTCATGACTCCAGCAAGGCCACTGAGGCACACCCAAATACTAGCTCCTCATAGGCCTGACAAGAGTAGGCCAACCTAGAGAACTTAAAGAGTGCATGCACACACACACTCTCTACAGCTATGTGAGAGATACCATAATGCTCTCTAGAGAAGAGACATCTGTTCTCAAAAGAAAAGGCACTTGAAAACCCTTCAAATTCTACTCCAGCATTCGGCTGCTCACTCCAAAACCTTTCCAGATAGTTTCCTCATTTTAACTTCTGCCCATGAATATAGAAAACTTCCTCCCTAGTAGGACCTATGAGTAACAGTCTACCTGGCTACACAAATTAGTGGGGGTTTCTGCTCCACTTTCTAGCCAGCTACAGTACTCACTTCTGCAGCACATATACTGAAATTCTAGCTGGCTACCAACAACCTTGTAACACAGCCTATCTTTCTGGGTCTCATGGGGGACACCCCACTCATATTCCTATTTATGGTTAGGAACAGCTCTAAGGCCCCTATCAGCCCTCAAATCCCTTCTAGGAAAAGAAATGCTTTATTTTACTCAGGCCAGTGAATCAACTAGTTAGAAAGCTATTTGTTCAAAAAGACAGCTTTCCTATAATCCCAGCTCTTGAGAGGCTGTAAACAGGTGGATCACTACGAGTCCTATCTAGTAGTGAGACCATGAACACCCTGTAGACCCGTCTCTAAAATTAAAAAAAGTAAAATAATCTTAACCTGTACATAATAAAACCTCATTATTAAAGCCTGAATGCAAACCCTAGAGTTTTAAGCCTAAAAAAACTTAAGATTTAAGATTAACTTGCCTGGCAAGGGCAGGGTCCTGAATTCAAACCTTAGTACTTAAAAGTAATTAAGATGTGCTATGTATGTGTATCAGCTCCACAGTGGATATAATCATCATGTAACTGAAAACATGTGTTAATAAAAATATTTAAAAACTAAAAGAAAAAAAAAAGGCTTTCATCCACCTTTTCTGAAGGGTGGTCTCCAGATTCTGAGAAAAAGTAGAAGCAGGATAGTTTTCCAAGATTGAGGACATGACTACCATCCTGATGCATTTGGAGATCATTTTTTAAAAAGGAGACACCCCAAGAGGTAATTTCAGTCCAAGGACATAGGCGGACAATTTTTGTTTAAAGGCAGCAACTACAAAATTCTTTACCAAGAAAGCTGGTCTATAACTCAGAAGGGCTCAGGAGGAAGAGGCTTCTCTCTGTACTAGCTTCCTCATACTCACGTTTCAAATGCTCTTTTGCAACTTGTCAAAAAGGAATTCCAGAAAGTCATGACACTGATAAGACACATAAATGAATAAATAAATTAATTAATTAATTAATTAAAAAAACAGACTCGTTCCCTATGAAGCAAATGTTCCCATTTGCAACTACCTGAACAATTAGAATCACCAAATGTCAAGCTGGAAGCAAACTTAGCATTAACTGTGGTTGCAGGAGTAAATTTCAAACATCAAAATGAGAAGATTCTACTAAAGGTCACTCCTAGTACAGTCTTAGTACACTGTCTCAGTCTTTCTTTTTTTAATCAGCATACCTCATCTGCAACAGGCTTAACGCACACCACTGCCCAAGAACAAAAGTAGATTTAAAACTAACCATCTAATATCCAACGACCAAAGAGTAGTCCTATATTTTAACTCTATCACTTTGAAGGTTCAGGTTACACACAGACAGGCAGACAGGCAGACAGACAGGCAGGCAGGCAGGCAGATAGACAGATAGACAGATAGACAGATAGACGGACAGATGGAAAGATGGACAGATGGACAGACAGACAATGAATACATATATCCTCATAGCAACCCTTTCGTAACCCGAGATAAGGAAGTTATATACCCTGAAAGCCCTGATAGACACCTTCTACTGCTCTTATTCCACACTGTTACAGTTGTGTGTCATTTCAGAAAGCAAATCCTTTTAAAGAACAGATGGTAAAAGAGAAAATGACAAGGGCCTCCCCCCCCCCCAAACACACACACAAAAAGGATACTTCCATTCCACTATACTAATGCAGGCTCTTCGGATGGGGTTATTGAGTGATAAACAGAAAAGGGCGCGGGCAGGTCGGCTGTTGGACGAGTTACCCTGTTTTTTGCTCTTGGCGTATTGCTGACGTTTTCTTTGGGAGAGAGATCCTACAGGTGGGGGCACGGAGGTGCTCATAGTTTGGGCAGCCTTGGCCTGTCTAGCAGCATCGATTGCAGCTTGCCAAGACAGGACAGTTTGCTTGGAGCTATTTGGCTGAGAAGTTGGTCCTTCACCAGAAAGAGGGAATCTGGTGCCTCTTGCATAGTTTGCCTCTGTGAAGAAGAAGAAAAAGAATGATTTAAAAATTTATGATCCGTTATGTGCACAAAAATGCAAAGATTGTCTCCTGTCAATAACAGGAAATTGCTCCTATGGGCCCATGTTGAATCTCATGTCCTTTTTTTCAGAATCAGAGGCTTGAGGTCAGGCAAAGATGCAAGAAAAGTCCTTAGAGTTCCACTCTACACATTAATCACACAGGATTATTACTATTCCATACCCAAATGGGTGGGTGCCCCTTCATACCCGTGTCTTTACCGGGAGTCTGTTACTGTATTTCTTCTGATAGGCTTAGGTCACTGCCACATTTACTGTACATCCTTCCGGCCTTTAAAAACCCATGTATCTCTTATAATTTAACACATACGTAAAACAGTTTTTCTCTAAAATAATTACCAGCAGCGCACACACACGCACGCACACACACACACACACACAGGAAAAACACAGTGCCAATAATTCAATAGTCTTAATCATCTTCAGGGTGTTACTCCAACATCTTTCCACAGTCACAAATACATTTTTTCCAGCATGGGGAAAAAAAAAAATCTTTCACTGGCACCAGACAATACCAAAAGTCCCATAACAAATATCTAGATTATGTACTGACATTGCTCACAAATGAAAATTCATGATACTTGGGACTCATTTCCTCCACAAGCTTCCGAAAACAGAAAACATCTTTAGGGCTTTTTTGCATTTTAAATTGCAGCAGCAGCAACAGCAGCAGCCAAGCCAGCATCCAGACTGTCAGCCTGCACCCCTACACGTACGACAGACATAACAGATAACGCTTGGTGTTCCCAAGGCCCAGAGAGAATCACCTCAAGTGGAGGCAGGCACCCAGGTGCACACAAGGAGGAAATCCCAGGGGGCCTCTGGTGTGAAGCCCTAGCCACTTTGGGTCAAGCCATTCCCAGGCAGGTCTCCCAGGCACCTGCTTCCATTGGGCCACAGCCTCCTTGCTCAGACAAAAGTCCAAGCGAGAGAGATGGCCCAGAGGTAGTGGGATGGGCATTGACAAAGCCAATTATGGCTAAGTAAAGTGCCAAAGCGAGCACAGGTCTGCCTGCCTAGCAAGCCTGAGAAGGGAGCAAAGCACAGACAATCGGAACCCAGGGATGAGTTGCGCCAAGCTTTTCCCTTGGGGAGCGCTCACCCGGAAAGGCTTCCAGCCTACCCGGGTTGGGGGCGTCAGCGATCTGGGGGGAGGGGGACCCGCTGGCCAGTGGCTGCTTCAGCCTCACTCGACCCAGTACCGGCAGGCATGGAAACTGCACGTGGTGCTCGGGGCCGAGGCCGGGGCTGACAGCCCCACAGCGGCAGCGACTTCCCGGGCATTGCTAGGTTACCGACGACGTGTGCACAGGAGGTGCTGGGAGCTGGAACAGGCGCTCCACCCGACCCCTTCTCCCAGACTGCAAGACCTGGCCTCCCCTCTCTAAGGGAGGTTGTGTACGCTTCGCCCACCAGCGCGAAGGGTAAATAAAAATGGACAATCCCAGAATTTTCTGGGATGCCACCAGGGACCTTCTTACTAATCAAACAGGGGACGGAGGGAGGAGGGGAAGGCAAGAAGCTGGAAAGGGGCTCAGGCTGTAGAATAACAGCCCCCCTGCCGTCTTTGGGGGCGCTGGAGGAAAGTTGAGCCCGAGGACACTGAACCTGAAACACCTCCACTCGCCACCCCTCCGGCTGCACAGTGCTCCATCTACTCCATGGCCGCCCCCACCCCACAAATGCAGAATAACTCTGACATTCAGGGCCTGAAGGGGAGCGCTGAGAGGCTGTCACGCATCTTCCTTTTCTGTGTAGATGACACCGACCTGGAAGCATCCTCTCCAATCCCCTCAACCCACCCAGCGCCTCAGAAGTGGGGGTGGGGGCAGCAGGAAGGAACAGGAGGTGGGAGGAGGAGGACCGTGACAAGGATGAGGTTTGGCCACGGGTACCCGGGCTCTGGCTGCTCACCGTTCGCGTGGTCCGCTTGCTGCTGCCGTTGATGCTGCATTTTTTTCATCATCATTATCATCATCATCCACGAACATTTATTGAGCGCCTACTGTGTGCAGGGCACTGCGCTGGGCGTTAGGGCGGGGGGAGGGGGGAATGGGCTGAGGGGGTTACTGCTAGGTAGGAGCCGCGGTCCCTGCCCTTATCCTCGCTTCAGCAGGGGGTGGGGAGGGACAGGGACAAATGACAGAAAATAAGGATAATTTATAAAAGCCGCTCTCCACCCACACACTCTTTTTCAAAAATGGAGCAAAATAAACTTTTAAAAAAATAAAATCCGATGTATATATTAGCTTAGTAATATATACATGCAATTTTTTGCTGCAAAGGAGAATTGGCTTAGTCCCTCCTCTAGCGGAGGGACGCCGCGGTGGTGCCGGCCCGGCCGCCGGGGCCGCTCTGAGCGCCCCCCATGCCGCCCGTCGCCCGCCCGCC